TATTTTTCACTAACCAAAAATGGTAAAATTCAAGGTTAAGTCCATGAACTTCCCACAAGTTCCAAAATCGAGCTACAACTTTTAAAATTTTACAATTTGATCTTCAATTTCTCCCTTGTTACGACTTTAATTCGATACTTAAAATTATAAAATATAGCCCCTAAAATGGGGTACGAAAGCTCCAACCACCACACACGGTGGTTGAAGCTCCTAAATCGAACCTAAATAGCCCTGCAACCATTATTTCTTTCTCCTAAACTCAGATATAAGGTCTAAACCCTGTAATAAGGATCCTAAATACCCCTAAAACATCCTCGGTGTTTCGGTTTCCCTATCTCCGACCACTACAACGATGAATGACGCCTCGGTTCGACTACCCCTCTCAGGTAACTATTTGATTTCCTCCTTCTTTTGTGTTTGTTTTTATAAATATACATATATATTTTTTATTTCGATACTGGAAAAAAAAAGAAAGTTTTTACCTTAAAATTTTTTTGCTTTTCTATTGCCTCAAAAAATGGAAGGATGGGATCTCTTTACATACTAGTTTTTGGGTTTTATACCCAGGATTACAGAGAAATAAAATAAAGAAACAAAACCTAATCCCTACTTGCTCCTGACATTTATTGTGTTTGATGATTTGATTTTTAAATTCCCCGAATTTTTTAGGGTTTTGTTAAGATTTCTATTGATCTAGTTCGGCTAGGCTTGATAACGGGGACGATCAACGCGGCTGGATGTAGAAGAGCTCGTTCGTCGGCTGGAACTCATCTTTGGTGGCGGTGGCGGCAGTTGAGAAGATGGGTTAGGTTAGGGCTTTGGTTTGGGCCCAGGTTTGGGTTTGGGTTTGGTTTGGGTATTTTGTAATAATAAATAAATATAATAATAATAATAATAATAATAATATATAAGAGTTGAAAAATGGTGATTACACCAAGAAACAGTGCCCTTAAATTAATCTCTATGTTCTAAAACCCTCTCCCCATATTGAAAGTTCAAACTAATTTGTAGATATTGCAGCATGTTGTTGAGAGGACTATTAATGTTTTTTAAAAGTGGTTCACTTCATCGACATGAATATTAGGAGTTTGAATATTGGTGTTGTAAATTGAGAAAACTGAATTGGGAGTGTTGTTTCATAATAGATCTCTACAATATCCGATTTAAATTAATCAATTAATAAATTAGATACCACAAGACTCAACATTATCGTCATGGATATGGCCTTTACTCGCAATAGAATGTAACATGTGACTTGGTTTCTAATGGAGCTTTTTCCATTATTGTTTGTGAAGACACCAGATTTTGTCTTGCCAACCGAGGAGTCTTCATGTAACCAACAAAGAAGAGTTGGATTAAGACTCAAATACTAGTCTAAAATAGAGTTGGATTACGACTCAAGTACTAGTCTAAAATAGGGTTTTTTAGTACTATATATAAGCCTTATAATTACCACACCAGAACACACACGAGTTACATAAAAGGAATGCCAGAAAAATACGAGCAAAGAAAAAAGTATTTCGAGGTTATTGTAAACGATTCGAAGTAATAAAGGTGAAAGCTTTTTACCTTTCGTTTGTTTCTCTTTACTATTCACTTGCATGTGTTGTTAATCGCATTTTCTTTGCTTGAGAACCCCAAAGACAAATATTTTAGCCGATGACCCAGAGGGAGTTTTTCGAACTTTGATTTCAGATCTATGCTCTCTAGAGGCTATTTCGTAAAAACAAATTATATTTTTTGAATGAGGGTGCGAAAATCTATTAAAAAATGAAAACTTTTTATTTTTGCCAGTTTTAATCTTCAATATTCTTTGACATTTTCCCACTGACTTAGCTTTTATTTCAATTTAATCCCCTACTAATATCATATATGTTTACTTATATTTCCATTATTATTATTTTTTATTTCATTTATACTTTATTTTTTTTTTTATATATATATATATATTACTTTGATTTTCATATTCTTTATAATTTCTTTTATTTCTGTTTTTTTATTTATTACTATTATTACTTTTTTATTTTAATACTTATTATTACTATTATTTTTTATACATTGTTTATAAGTTATATATATATATATATATATATATATATATATATATATATATATATATATATATATTATTATAATTTATTTTTGCTATTAATGTATATATTTATATTTTTATAATTATCATTATAATTGCTATTACTATTTTACTTTTAACTTACATTTTATTTTATTTTATTTTTCTTTATTTTATGTGATTGTATTTTTTTCATTTATTTTCTATTTTCTTTGTATTTTTCCTCATTATTTTATTGTTGTTTTATTATTATTAGATTCGTTACTTCATTCTTGTTTATTTTTAGTTTTACTTCTTTTATTTTCTTATTTTTTTATCTCATTTTGTTTATTCGTGTTATTTATGTGTTTTCTTTGTTTTATTTATTTACTTTCATTAACTTTTTCCTCTAACGTGTTTCTCGCTTTTTTTTTAAAGGGATATTTTCAAATCGAATTAGGGTAAGTAATTTTGGATCGTAATTTTACCTTTTGAGTTAAACTTCCAATTTTCTTACTTAATGACAACTGGAAATTACGTAGCACCGAAAGGGCAGTTCAAGGGTGCTAACCCTTCCTTGACTGTAACCGACTCCCAAATCCGACATATCTCTGGTAAGACGCAGATCATATAAGAAATAAGGTATCCGATCAACCCACTTTTCGTAAAGTAAATGATCGGTGGCGACTCCCAAATCCATTTTCCTAAGTCGAAGCCCAATTCTGGGGCCCAACCAAAAGACGGTTACGACAGCTTGGCGACTCTGCTGGGGAAAAATAAGCGAGTCAGGCTAAGGTAATTCCCAGTTGTCTTTTTAATGAAAAGGGTAAGTTTAAATTTTAAGGTAACATTTTGATCCTTATTGCTTACTTTTGGTTATATTTTTCCGAGTAAATAGTTGACTGACCGTTTTCTAATGATTACAGCTTCCAGAATTTTTTTTTCATCTAAAGGCTCTATACCCGAGCTCCGAACCCATTTTAAGTGGGGGTGAAAGCGACGCATTCGTGTGAATTTATTCACCGCATATGCCTAGCAAGTAGCCTTCGGGATTCATATACCTTCTGTCTTCGTGTGAATTTATTCTCCGCATAGACATAAGGGAATGTGTCCTCTCGAGTTTAACTTAGTCCACACAAACCTGTAATGGGTTTAGAACTAAGGCTCTGGCAAGCCCAAGGGGGCACCGGCAAGGAGAACTCGGGTACGTTTTTTAGAACCTAAACCGGAAGACTATGGAGAATTAGAGCCTACCCTGAAACCACATTCTAAAACCTAGGATATTTTTTCATATCTTTTTTTTTTTTTTTCTTTCGTCATTTTTATTTATTTATTTATTTTTATTTTACTAAGCTTTTTTACCTTTGTGTTTATTTTTTAGCATTTGCATCATAACAAGAGGCTATTGATCCTTAAAAAGAGTTTATTTACACAAAATAATCTAATTAATGGAAAAAGTGTTGTAATACAAGAGATTAAGAACCCGAGGTACGACTATGGTCCGAGAAGACTCAGAAGGAAAAGGGAGACAGTCTTCAAGGAAACTATATGTCAGAGCTGGTTAACTATGCCTCTATCAGCCTAAAACAGAACAATGTGCAAGAACTTCGAGACATTTGGGACAGTTGGAAGAATGATCGGAAATAGAAGTTCAGTCAGGGTATGGTGACATTGCACTTTTGCTTCATGTTAAGACCGATGAGCCCTTAATCAGAGCATTGGTTCAATTCTGGAACCTAGGATACAGTTACTTCACCTTTAACCGGAGGACATGGTGCCCACCATCGAAGAGTGTACTACATTACTGCACTGCGAAAGCATCAGACTAGAGAGGGCATATATCAAACACATCAAGAGTCAGTCTTTCAAGAATGGACTGGCCAAGATTGCAGGAGTTGATGAAAAGTGGGTGACTGATCGACTCTGACACAAAGGTAGCGGGGAAGGAATCAAATGGATCCAGATAAAGCAACTAATGAAGAACCACCCTGATGAATGGAAGACTATAGATCTTTTTGCATTGGGCCTGTACGGTTTGATTATCTTTCCGAAGACCTTGGGGTGCATCGACGCAGCCATGGTGGAACTATTTGAACAACTTCCAAGGCGAGTCAACCCAGCACCAACCATCTTAGCCGAGACCTTTCGTTCTCTTAATCATTGCAGAAGAACTGGTGGAGGAAGGTTCATTGGGTGTGTTCAGCTCCTTCAAGTCTGGATTCACAGCCATTCTTGAAGACTAACGGGGTTACTTACCGCCTATTTAGCACCACCTATTCACCTTTGGGAGAGTTCATCACTATGAAATGGCATGAAGGTGCTACAAAGGAAAAATGGATGAAGGTCTTCACGCATCTTTAGGACCGGGATATTACCTGGAGAGCCCTCTGGTTGTTCCTCAGTGATGTTCTTTTCAAGTGTGGGAATTCTGACACTATGACCCTATTTAGACTTTGGGGTACAGTTAGGTATGCTCCGTTGTTGGCACTTAGATAGTATGGGGCATGTCAGTTTATCCCAGCAACATATGGATTATCTACATCAGAGTTTATGTATCACGGTGACAGTTATAAGAAGATGATCAAAGAAGCAGCCGAGTCATGGAAGAAAGTATCTCGGATGGATGTCTAGAAGATTTAGTCCGAACATACCTTTGATTATTTTTATGTCTCTTACAAGATAAAACATTTTTGTCTAAATAAGGATTATTTATAATAATGGACACTTTTCTGGATCAATGCCTATAAATTACATACATCACGCATTACATACTTTGTATTTTTATTTTCATATTTTCCATGTTTTTACAAGAGAAAGAGCAAACACCAAGTTTACCACGCAAGCATTAAATACGCATCACCCGCACAATACTCGAGAAAAGAAGAGACAAATGGAGGCCAGAATGAAAAAACTCAAGGAGAACATGACAAGACTGCAAAAGAAACTAGAAGATAAGATGGCTCAAAACAGTCAGAGCACCCTGGAGTCCATCAAGAAAAACCAGGAGTCCTTGGTCGACCAAATCGTGGCCAAGTTATCGAGTTTGCAGTAAGCTAGTGCAGTAGGGGGAAGTCTCTCCGAGGGGGAAACCACATCACCAACCCCACAGGTGGTTATTTCACCCGGAATTCTACCCAGACCACAAGAAAATTCTTCTGTTGTTAAAGGAAAAGCATCATCTGCTATTTAGGTGCAAATTGAGGTGCCATTAACGAACGGGGCCTTAGTAATTATCAATGCTGAGGAAGATATTGTGGCAAGTGTAACCACAGAGGCCCCGGTGGAGTGTTCATTCTGCTCCTTGGAATGTGTGAATTCCACCTTTTTGGCATAAGGAAGAATGATTCCTAAACCCCGACTTTCCAAGTGTACTAGAATGGAGATCATGCAGACTTTGGGAAAAGGCGCCAGGACTGAAGAGGGTTTGGGAAGTCTCTACAAGAAAGGATTAATACAGTCCTTCCTATTTCAAAGCTAGATCAGTTTGGGCTCAGTTTTCAGCCCAATTACCATGAAAATAGAAAGGAAGTTTAGAAGAACCGAGAGAAAAGACTAGCCAGGTTGACTGGAAGTGAACTTTAATGGGAACCCATGACATTCCCGCCTCTCTGCCACACATTCAGTCAGGTGGTTATGTATTTGAGACCACCTTGTCAGATTTAGAAGTGGCTTTGGAGGATTTGAGCATCAATGTCGTGACCATTGGAAATGCTGACAACGAGGATAGATCTGGGATATGCCCTCTGCCACTTGGGTTCGTGCCTAGCAGTTAGTCGGTCGAAGAACTACATGTGGTTTACAAGAGTCTTTCAAGTAATATTCGAACCGTCCCTATTTGCCTATACCCAGGGCAATAGGTGATCTTTTGTAAGGGTGAATAAACATTATGTGTAGGTTCAATGAAAGATGCATTTTTTCTTTCCTCTTCCCATGACAAACAAATTTTCCTTTTTTTCCCTTTTTAAATTCATCATCTATCTTTTTCATTTTGATACTTTATTTCACTTTCTCTTGAATTTAATTCTTGACTATTTCGTGTGGGGGATTTTCCTCTCACGCATGCACATTTTTCCTCCTTTCAGATCCCCAGATAACAATAATGTAGGCACTAATGATCCTGATCAGGAGGTCGATTTTGAATCGACCATTTGTCTCGGGGAATTTGATGAATGTGACACTGAAGAGGAGTGCAACTTGCCAATCGAATTTTTGAGAATGATAGAAAGAGAAGATAAACAAATACTGCTCCATAAAGAGACAATCAAAATCTTGAATCTGGGTACTAAAGAAGATCGAAAGGCGGTTAAAATCGGCACAACTCTTTCGACTGGAGCAAGACACAGCCTGATAGTCTTACTTCGGGAATACAGAGAGGTGTTCGCCTGGTCATATCAAGACATGCCAGGATTAGACACAGATATGGTAGTCCACAAACTGTCTATCAAACCAGAATGCAAACCAATGCAGCAAAAACTAAGAAGGATACGACCAGAAATGCTCCTTAAGATCAAGGAAGAAGTCAAGAAACAATTTGATGCCGGTTTTCTTCAAGTGGCCAAATATCCGGAGTGGGTGGCCAACATAGTACCTGTGCCGAAGAAGGACGGGAAAGTATGCATGTGTGTCGATTACCATGACCTTAACAAGCCAAGTCCCAAAGACAACTTTCCTCTGTCACACATAGACACTCTGGTGGATAATACAGCCGGGAACAACTACTTTTCATTCATGGATGGATTTTAGATACAATCAGATCAAGATACACCCTGAAGACATGGAGAAGACCACTTTCGTCACAATGTGGGGAAATTTCTGTTACAAAGTGATGCCTTTCAGATTAAAGAATACTAGGCAACATATCAGAGAGCTATGGTGATCTTGTTCCACGACATGATGCATAAAGAAATCAAGGTTTATGTCGATGACATGATTGTCAAGGTACAGACCGAGAATGAACATATCGAGTATTTAAGAAAGCTCTTCCAGAGATTGAGGAAGTTCCAGTTACGACTGAACCTTAGCAAGTGTACCTTTGGGGTAACATCCAGAAAATTGTTAGGCTTCGTGGTCAGCAGAAGAGGCATTGAGGTTGATCCTGACAAAGTTAAGGCTATCCAGAATCTACCACCACCTCGAACACAAAAAGAGGTCTGAGGTTTTTTGGGCAGATTATTACATAGCTTGGTTCATATCTCAGTTAACCGATAAATGATCTAATCTTTTGCCTTCTCTGAAAGAACAGCCCTGGAGTATGGGATGAAAACTGTCAGACTACATTCGAGAAGGTGAAGGAGTACCTGTCTAATTCTCCAATCTTAATGTCCCCCATCCCAGGCAAACCTCTATTCTTATATCTATCCATATTCGAGAGCTCAATGGGGTGTGTCCGGGGTCAACATGACAAATCTAGAAGAAAGGAAAGAGCCATCTACTATCTGAGTAAGAAGTTCACCGATTGCGAGGTCAGATATCCTCCTATCGAGAAGGTTTGTTGTGCTTTAGTCTAGGCCACAAAAAGACTCCGACAATACATGTTGTATCACACCACTTGGTTGATTTCCAAGCTAGATCCACTAAAATACATGATGGGTGTACCAACTCTATCTGGAAGATTAACTCGATGGTAGATGCTATTGTCTGAATTCGACATCAAGTACGTGAATCAGAAAGTAATCAAAGGGAGTGTCATATCAGATTTCTTGGTAAGTAGAACCGATGAAAGTTATGAGCTCTTAAATTTTGATTTCCCGGACGAAGACTTGATGGCTTTATCCTTAGAAGAAGCAAATACTTCAACAGATAGTTCCTGGAGAATATATTTCGATGGGGAATCAAATGCACTAGGAGATGGCATCGGGCAACACTGATCTCTCCAGAAGGGAGTCACAACCCATTTACCAGCAGACTGAACTTCGATTGCACCGACAACATGGCAGAGTATGAAGCCTGTGTCTTGGGAATTCAGCTGCACTAGGGCAAAGTATAAAGACCTTGCGCATATATGGAGATTCAGTATTAGTAATATATCAGCTCCGTGGAGAATGGGAAACCAAAGATACAAAACTGATGGAATACCAGAAGCTAATACTGGATCTGCTCGAAGAATTCGATGAAGTCACCTTCCACTATGTGCCAAAAGAAGAAAATCAAATGGCTGACGCTTTGGATACCTTGGCAGCCGCATTCAAAGTTGGCGGAAAGTTTGAAATGATGCCAATTGACATGCAGTTGTATGAGTACCTGGCTCATTGCTACCAGATTGAAGAAGTAAAGGACACTAAGCCTTTGTACTATGACATTTTACAGTATATCAAGCATCGAAGTTATCCAGAAGAAGCCACTGAAACCGATAAAAGAATCATCAGAATGATGGCAGCTGGATATGTCCTTGATAGGGAAGTCTTTTATAAGAAAAGCCAATATCAAGTTCTGTTAAGGTGCGTCGATATTGAAAAGGCAAAGATGATAATGGAAGAAGTACATGACGGAGTTTGTGGAGCACATGCAAATGGACATATGATGTCGAGACAAATAATGAGATGCGGATATTTCTGGTCCACACTAGAAAGTGATTGCATCAACTATGCTAGAAAATGTCATAAATGTCAGATTTACGATGATAAAATAAATGTTCCACCTCATCCGCTTCATGTCATGACGTCACCATGGCCTTTTTCTATGTGGGGCATGGATGTAATTGGGCAAATCCATCTGAAGTCTTCGAATGGTCATCGTTTCATCCTTGTAGCTATCGATTATTTCACTAAGTGGGTAGAGGTTGCTTCCTATGTCAATGTCACTCAATTTGTTATTTGTAAGTTTTTGAAGAAAGAGATCATATGTCGGTATGGTTTACCTGAATGAATCATTACTGATAATGCTACAAACTTGAACAATAAAATGATGAAGGCTGCTTGTGAGCAATTCAACATAAAGCATCACAATTCTACTACTTACAAGCCAAAGATGAACGGCGCAGTAAAAGCAGCAAACAAAAACATTAAAAGGATAGTGGAGAAAACAACCGAGACCTACAAGGACTGGCATGAGAAGTTGTCTTTCGCTTTGTTCGCTTACCGAACCTCAGTACGAACCTTGACTGGGACAACTCCATTTTCATTAGCTTATGAAATGGAAGCAGTACTACCCATTGAAGTAGAAATTTTGTCATTACGGGTCTTGACAGAAGTTAAATTGGATGACGCAGAATGGGTGCGATCCAGATACGATCAACTTAATCTGATAGATGAAAAGAGACTGAAAGCCATTCACCATGGTCCAATTTATCAGAAATGAATGATTCGAGCACATGACAAGAAGGTACGCCAGAGAATATTCCGTGAAGGAGATCTGGTGCTAAAAAGAATTTTGCCAGTTCAAAAACATTTCTGAGGAAAATGGACGCCAAATTGAAAAAGGCCTTATCTGGAGGAGCCTTTGTCCTGTCTGAAATGGACGGGCCTGAACTACCACATCCCATCAATTCAGATGCAATCAAGAAATACTTTGCTTAGGATGAAAACCCAAAAGGGCGTCCTAAGTGGGAGAAAGAAAAAAGAAAAAAGAACAAAAAGTAAAAAACGTTTAGGGTGAAAACCCGAAAGGGCGCCCTAAATTGAAAAAACAATGAAAAAGAGAACAAAAGAAAAAGAAAAGAACAAAAAATAAGGTGGGTTCAAGATGAAAACCCGCAAAGGGCATCTTGCAACCAAGGATGGGTCCAAGTTAAAAACCCGAAAGGGCGATTTGGACAATTCAAGAAATCCAGACAGTTGAAACTCCCCAGCATCTGAATTTTCCACCGACTCAACGAGTTGGAGAAAGGTTGCACTATCCTGAATGTTGTCGATTCTCAAAGATCCTTTGGAAAAGGTTGTATTCAAGGTTTCCTAACGGTTTTTCAGCTCAGAAGTGCCCACATTATTGAAATCTAAGACATTCATTTACACCTCATCATGTCTTCATCTTCCATAATGTTTGTCATGTATTATTTGTTCCTTTTTCCTCAAGAATAAAGATTCATTGAAAAGTACAGGTACTCAGAAGCCGATCGAGGCTCATGCATATACTTGAGATGGTCGAGAAGCATTTCCCAGATCAAAGATATAAAAAAACAAACATCAGATTTGAACATTGAAGAATTCAAGACCAGGGATCGAAACTTCAAGATTCCAGAATCAAGATTTCAGACAAGCAACCGGAGTTCAAGTTTTCTCTCCAGAGCCCCAAAAAACATATATGCATAACTTTTTCAATTTTAACTAGAGTCAATTTCAACTTCGCGGCGAAGGATATTGAACTCAAAGCGACACAATTTGCTCGAGAGTAGATTTCAACTTCACGACGAAGGATATCTAGCTCGAAGCCGAATTTCACAATAAAGAGGTCATCCACGGTTTCAACTTCACGGCGAAGGGAATCGTGTCCACCCACAACATATGATACTTGGATTTCAACTTCACGACGAAGGATATTCAAGTCAAAGCACAATTTTACGACGAAGGAGCCATCGCGATTTCAACTCCACGATGGAGGATATCACGTCACTCAAGACAACACAAGTTCAACTTCACAACGAAGGGACGACTGGTTGTCAACAAATAATTTCCCAATTTCATAGTCAATTTCAACTTCACAGCGAAGGATATTGGACTCGAGACAACACAAGTTCAACTTCACAATGAAGGGACGGCTGGTTGTCAACAAACAATCTCCCAATTTTAGAGCCATAGGGAAGGATATTGGACTCGAGACGACACAAGTTCAACTTCACAACGAAGGGACAGCTAGTTGTCAATAAATAATTTTCCAATTTCAGGGTCAATTTTAACTTCACATCGAAGGATATTGGACTAGAGACAACACAAGTTTAACTTCATAATGAAGGAACGGCTGGTTGTCAACAAACAATTTCCCAATTTCAGAGCCAATTTCAACTTCACAGCGA